CTTCCGCCCCGCCCCGCCGCAGGCGCGCGAGGTGCAGCAGTTTGCCACCATGCTGGGCTATGGCGCCGACGCCATCTGCCCCTACCTGGCCTACGAGTCCATCTTTGCCCTGCAGGTGGGTCCTGGGGGCAGGGCGTGAGAGTGGGACGGAGCTAACTGTCAGTTTGCGGCAGCTGTATCACATGTGCTCACGCCAACGCTCGCTCGCCCTTTCCTGAGCAACGCCCCCCGGCCCCCTGCAACCTGCCCTGCAGCTGGCCGGCAAGCTGCCTGCCGCCCTGACGCGCGAGGCGCTGGTGTCCAAGTACATCAAGTCTGTGGGGGTGGGCCTCCTCAAGGTCATGGCCAAGATGGGCATCTCCACGCTCATGAGCTACAAGGGGGCCCAGATCTTCGAGGTCCTGGGCATTGCGGACGAGGTGCGGTTGCCGGCTGCAACTCTGGGGGGGGGGGGCGTGGAGGAGCCGGCGTGGCAGAGGCCACGCGGTGCTGGCCTTCATTGGGGACCAGGGCTCTGCTCACTCTAGGTGCTGCAGTTCTTTCAGCTGCACAGAATGCCTAGGGTGTTTTTGTGTTGGTTGGTAATGTGACAGCTCACTCCTCGCCTTCCTACCCGTCACTTCACCCCCAGGTGGTCTCCATGTGCTTCAAGGGCACGGCCTCGCGCATCGGCGGTGTTGGTTTCGAGCAGATCGCCAAGGACACGCTGGCCCTGCACGCGGCCGCCTACCACGTGAGATCACGGGGAAATGGGGCACCCCGAGCCAGCAACAAAATTGCCTGCGCCAATCAACGTCTTAATTCTGCAGGTTTCGTCTCCTTCTACTCTGCCCATCCGCTAACCAACTGTCCCTCATCCACCGCACCTCCTCGACCCCCTGCCCCCCCCCCTCCCCAGGGCATCGACTTTGCTGACGACAGCCTGGAGGCCAAGACCCTGCCCCACTCTGGGGACTACCACTTCCGCGCCGCCCCGGGGAGCGAGGTGCACATGAACGACCCTGGTGAGCCCCGATGTTGTTTGATCGAGTTGCTGCTGCGCTGGAAGCCCTGCTCAACCCTGATGACATTCCCTTCTGTTTCTGCAACAATGCCATTCCCTCTCTCACGCTAGTGCCTGTCTGCTCCCTCCATTCCCCCCGCAGCCGCCATTGCGGCGCTGCAGGCGGCTGCGGCTGACAACGACAAGGCGGCCTACAGGAAGTTCAGTGCGCTCAACTACAAGTGAGGGCACGCGGGGCAGTGGGGGGTGCAGGGGGCGATTGGTGGGCGTTGGGCGCCTGGCAGTCCCAGGGTTTCAGGGTAGCAGCCCTCCATGCCTGGCAGGGATTATCAGCCAAAGCTGCTTTGCTGAGACCGGCCTCTTCCTACCTTCCTCTTTGCCCCAGGCTGAGCCAGCAGTGCACCCTGCGCGGCATGCTGAGCTTCAAGGCCGGCACCCCCGTGCCCCTGGAGGAGGTGGAGCCCGCGGCCAAGATCGTCAAGAGGTTCTGCACGGTGGGATGTGTGTGTGTGTGTGTGTGTGCATGTGCCAGCGTGTATGTGTTCGTGTGCATGCGCGCTGGGCAAGCGGAGGACGTTGGGTCTTGCAACTATATTGCTGCGTGAGGACAGAGGCGATGCAGCACCAAGAAGTAAGTGCAGGACACTGGCACACTGCAGCTGACTTTTGATCACCATGCCATGCATCGCAGTGGCAGCAGCGCGCTGTACACACATTTTTACGACCATGCACGACTTGCCGCTGATTATTACAAGCAATCCCTCCCCGACAGTAACCTCTTCGCCCTTCAGCACATGCCATCATCCACTCCCCCACAAATCTGACTCAGCGGCGCCTTAACGCCCTACCCCTCATCAGGGCGCCATGTCCTACGGCTCCATCAGCCTGGAGGCCCACACCACCCTGGCCCTGGCCATGAACACCATGGGCGGCAAGAGCAACAGCGGCGAGGGAGGGGAGAACCCGCGCCGCCTGGAGCCCCTGACTGGTGGGTGGCGCGGGGGGGGGGGGATTGCGTCGAATAACGGCTGGGTGCGCAGTCGCGCAAGCCTGGTTATCTCCCTCCCATGCACCCCTCCCCCCGCTCCCCCTGCCCCTTTCCTCGCAGATGGCACGCGCAACCCCCTGCGCAGCGCCATCAAGCAGGTGGCCAGTGGCCGCTTTGGCGTGAGCGCGTACTACCTCACCAACGCAGACGAGATCCAGATCAAGATCGCGCAGGGCGCCAAGCCCGGGGAGGGCGGCGAGCTGCCCGGCAAGAAGGTGCGCAGCCATGCAGGGTCCTGCCGCCTGACCTGCAGCCGATCACAGTACTTGACCTGCAGCGTTGGGAGCAACCTAATTTGTGGCCCACTGCACTGCTCCTGGCATCCTTTGTTGCGCTGGTGTTTCATACAATACCTGCTGCAACCAACCATCATCTCGCTTGCCCCGCTCCCTCACCCCCCCCCTCAAGGTGGACGGCGACATCGCCAAGACGCGCAACAGCACCGCGGGCGTGGGCCTGATCAGCCCTCCCCCCCACCACGACATCTACTCCATCGAGGACCTGGCGCAGCTCATCTACGATCTCAAGTCCTCCAACCCTGGGGCCCGCGTGAGCGTGAAGCTGGTGTCGGAGAACGGCGTGGGCGTCGTGGCCAGTGGCGTGGTGAAGGGCCACGCAGACCACGTGCTGATCAGCGGCCACGACGGCGGCACGGGCGCGGCCAAGTGGACGTCCATCAAGTACGCGGGCTGCCCCTGGGAGCTGGGGCTGGCGGAGACGCACCAGACCCTCGTGGCCAACGACCTGCGCGGCCGCACAGTGCTGCAGGTGGGCTTTGTTGTGTTTGAAGGAGGGGGGGTGTGCGCGGGTCATTGCTTTGAAAGCAATTGCGGCCGAGTCGGTGAAGCAGAATCTGCAGGTTGACGTTGACGGGAACAGAACTTGCACCAGCAAAACGAAATAGTGCCTCTTGGATGGCCAGTAGAGCAGAGCGCGAGGGATTCCAAACGTCAAGCCTCTCCCGCCACACAGCTGTCTGCCAACCTTGTCGCCCCAGCCAATCTTGGGAAACCAGCTGCCTGCTGACCCTGGCTACTCACAACCTCACGCTTTCCACCCCAACCCAGGCGGACGGCCAGATGCGCACCGGTCGCGATGTGGCGGTCGCAGCTCTGCTGGGTGCGGAGGAGTTTGGCTTCAGCACGGCCCCCCTCATCACCCTGGGCTGCATCATGATGCGCAAGTGCCACACCAACACCTGCCCCGTCGGCATCGCCACCCAGGTGGGCTGACAACCTTGTTGACCCCTTGCCACCGGACCGCTCTGTCAAAACTCACCTTCCATTGCAGTTCGTGAAGCCTGCAACCAGCGCATCCCATGAAACCTCCCCTGATCCCCCCCCCCCCCAACACCAAACCTACCAACAGGACCCCGAGCTGCGTGCCAAGTTTGCGGGGCAGCCTGAGCACGTCATCAACTACTTCTTCATGGTGGGGGATGTGTGTGGAGAAAGTGGGCGGTTGACATCTAGCCTAGCATGATGGTTTCCTGTGGCCAAGGGACACTGCAATGTGTTCGCCTGTATCAAATCCCTGGCGCCGTTTGCTCTTCGGTGTTGGTCGTTCCCATGGAGCCGCGCTCCATATGCGCGTGACCCCCAGGTTGCTGAGGAGATGCGCGAGCACATGGCGGCGATGGGCTTCAGGACCGTGGACGAGATGGTGGGGCGCGCCGACATGCTGGAGCCCAACACAGGTTGGTGGTGGGGGGGAGGGCGGATAGCTGCGGGTACGTGCTGCACGAGGGCCATGGAGAAGTGCATCAAGGCATACGAGCCATGTTGCTGCATTCCAAATGCAGACAGATCACATGGGCACAATCCCACTTTGCCCCCCTTTCGCCCTTCAATTTCACCACCGCCAGAGCTCATGCAGTCCAGCCCCAAGCTGTCGGGCATCGACCTCTCCAAGCTGCTCACACCCGCGGCCACCCTGCGCCCCCGCGCCGCCCAGCGCTGCGTCACCAAGCAGGTGCGGTTGCAAGGGGCGCGCCAAGTCTTGCAGTGTTCCCACCAGCCGCATCTTGGCTTTACTTTGTTCACCTCTTGGCTCCCCATGGGGCGGCTGAAGCTGAACCTCACCCCCCCCCTCCCCCCTCTCCCCCAGGACCACGGCCTGTTCACGGGTCTGGACGTGCATCTCATCCCGCACTGCCGCCCCGCACTGGTGGACAAGGGCCAGGAGCCAGAGCCTGTGTGAGTGGCATTACAGGAGAAACACACCCGCGCACATGGATGCATCCCACCCCCTGCCAACGCGTCACCTAGCTTCCTTCAATCTACCACTGCAAACGCGGCCCCCTCCTTCGTGACTGTCCGCCCTGCCCCTCTACAAATACCGCCAGGTATGTTGAGATGGCGGTCCAGAACGTGCACCGCGCAGTGGGCACCACCCTCAGCCACGAGGTCACCAAGAGGTTCGGGGAGAAGGTGAGGCGGCAGGGGGCTGCACTCTGTGAAGTGGCACGGCAAGGGGCGTCCGAGGGCTGTGGCACGCTGTTTGTGCAGCGGGTGAACCTCGCGTGCAGCATCCATGTGCAACACTCACCCCCGCCTGGCCACCTCTCATCTCGCAGGGCCTGCCTGATGGCACCATCTACGTGCGCCTCACGGGCCACGCCGGCCAGGTGAGGGGCGGGAACATGATCATTGCTGATCTGATGGCCTGGTGTTAATGGGCGCTGGGCAGCAGGGCAAGGGGCAGCATACGCATGTGTGGGCCGAGTCAAGACCTCCCTTCACTAGACGTTTGTTCGCCCGTACCTCCCCCAAGCAACCCACCTGGCCCCGCACCCCCGCAGTCCCTGGGCGCGTGGCTGTGCCGCGGCATCACCCTGGAGCTGGAGGGTGACGCCAACGACTACGTGGGCAAGGGCCTCAGCGGCGGCGTCATCGCGGTCTACCCCCCGGCCTCCGCGCCCTTTGTCCCCGAGGACAACATCATCGTGGGCAACGTGGCCCTCTACGGCGCCACCAGCGGCCAGGCCTTCTTCAGGGGCATCGCCGCGGAGCGCTTCTGCGTGCGCAACAGCGGCGCGCAGGCCGTGGTGGAGGGCTGCGGCGACCACGGCTGCGAGTACATGACGGGCGGCGTGGCCGTCATCCTGGGGCCGACCGGCAAGAACTTTGGCGCCGGCATGAGCGGCGGCCTCGCCTTCGTCTACGACCCCCACGTAAGGGGGCGGGGCCGGGTGGCCGGGGGGCTGTCAGGGCTCTCGTCTCTGTCCGCGTGGAGTACAAATGCAGGTGGTTGAGGGAGGGCTACCCATGGAGATAGGGGTTTGATTGTGGATTTCAGGAACAACAGCCAGCTTCAAGTCCCAGCTAAACACCAACTCACGCCTTGATCTGTCACGCGGTCGTGCGCCCCCCCCAGGGCCGCCTCCCCGCGCGCGCCAACGAGGACGTCAAGGGCGACCTCCTGCCCCTGGACGACATGCACGTGAGTGACACCGGATGGGGGTGGCACGCAGGGCAGCACCTCCCTTCCCAAAAGCACTGCCAGCCCGGATCAGCACGTTCCGTCGAAGTCCACAGATGCTAACGCCGCTGTTGAACTCTGCTCCCATCGCCTTTCCAACATGCCCTACCTCCGTCTTCAATGCCCGCACCCTTCTCCCCCCTCCCCCCCCAGGACGTGGCCACCGTGAAGCGCCTGGTCCAGCGCCACCTGCGCTACACCGGCAGCGAGGTGGCGCGCCGCCTGCTGCTCAACTGGGAGCGCGAGAAGAGGTCCTTCGTGAAGGTGCGCCCCGCTTGCGACTCCCAAGTTACGCTGCCTTGTGCAAACGGACGGCTTGTCCTATGCTGGCTCGCTTTGTCTTTGAGGCCGCCCTGCCTTAACCCGGTGTCGTCTCCCCCTATCCCACCCCTCCAAAGGTGTTCCCTCACGAGTACCGCCGCGCCCTGGCCGAGGCTGACGCCATCAAGGCCGCGGAGGCCGCACAGAAGGAGCTGCTGTCACAGGCCGGTGAGGGCACGGGGCTGAGGCGCAGGCCCGAGGGGGGACAAGGGTCGCGCGGCAGTGTTATCTTCGTGGAAACTGTGGCGCGCGAGTGTGGCCGGGATCGTTCCGTGCTGAACCAGTGGCCGCCTTCCAACAACATTTGCCCCATGTCAAGGTCACCCAATTCACCGTCGTCTCCGCCCCCCCCCCCCCAGGCCTGGCCGGTGTTGACGCGTTTGAGGAGCTTAAGGTGCTGGCCGCCAAGGCCGACGTCAAGGCGCCCCCCAAGGCCCTGGCCCTGCCGGCCCCCTCCCTGGGGGACCCCACCCTGGAGAAGCAGCGCCTGCTGGTGCAGGCGCGCGAGGGCCTGCCCGTGTCTGGCGTGCCGGCCACCAGCTGGGAGGCGCTGCGCCCCAAGATCGTGGGCAAGGGCGAGGCCGACAAGGTGGGCCGCGTGCGGCTGGGAGCCATGGTCGTGGGGGCATGATATGATGCTGCGCGCACGGTGGTGGTGTCGCTGGGGTTTTGTCCCTGTGCCTTTCATCTGTCAGGCATTGCAGCCACACTTGCATGCACCGCGCATCACTCAACCAGTTTCTGCCGCCGTGCCCACAGCACCCGCCCTCCACCCTCCCGGCCCCCCCTGGCCCCCTCCAGGCGCGCGGTTTCCTGGAGTACAACCGCTCCGCCCTGGGCTACAGGCCGCCCCAGGAGCGCCTCAGGGACTGGAAGGAGGTGAGGAGGGGCCGACCAAGGAGTGCTAGAGCGCTCAGGGTTGGCCAGTCAGCACGGTCCTGCTGCGGGCGAGCTGCAGAGTGCATGCGCCTTCCTCTTGTTGGGGCTTGCAGCGCTTGAGGTGTGGACCTGCTACTAGCCAATTCGGCGCTGTGTGAAACCCCCTCCCTTCTTTCCAACCATCCAGGTGCTGGAGGGCAAGCCCACCGAGGCGCGCCAGGATCAGCTGCACACCCAGTCAGCGCGCTGCATGGAGTGCGGCACACCCTTCTGCCACCAGATCGACTCGGGCTGCCCCCTGGGTGCGCCTCACTCGTCCAAGGGGGGGGGGCGTGGGACACGGCACACGCTCTTCTTGTTGCTGTGGCGCTCGAGCAGATGGCGCGCACTTGACGCACGCTCTGTTTGTGCCTGGTGCCAATGTCTTCCTGTCGATGCTCATACCCCTCTCCCCCCCCATGGCGTGTCATGCATCCCCAGGCAACCGCATCCCCGAATTCAACGACCTGGTGCACAAGGGCCGCTGGCGGGAGGCGCTGGACCGCCTGCTGCAGACCAACAACTTCCCGGAGTTCACGGGCCGCGTCTGCCCCGCACCCTGCGAGGGCTCCTGCGTGCTGGGCATCAACCAGGTGGGGGGCTGGAGGGGGCCAGGGGGGCAAGTGTGCAGCTTGCCACCTGGCAGTACAGGCCAGCGCACATGCTCAGGAGCCTGATGCTGCAGCTGGCGTCACAAAACCAAGCTCCCAGTTTCGGCACTATTGCTGCCGCCCCGCCTCAGCCTGGTCCCTGTCCCTTCTTTCCCCCCTCCCCCCCAAAGGACCCCGTGACCATCAAGACCATGGAGCTCACCATCATCGACAAGGCCTTCGAGGAGGGCTGGATGGCGCCAAAGCCACCAAAGGTGAGGCGGAACAGAGGACAAGGGGGGGGGGCAGTGTGCACGGAAATTGTCAGCAGAGCACGGCGCGGCAGGGTACTAGCCTCAGGTGGTGTCGTCACGCCCGCCCTGCACCCAACGCTCTGGTACTCCAATCCACCAGGTGCGCACCGGCCAGTCTGTGGCTGTGGTGGGCAGCGGCCCCGCGGGCCTGGCTGCGGCTGACCAGCTCAACAAGATGGGCCACGAGGTCACCGTCTACGAGCGCGCCGACAGGTGCGTGAG